GAACCGGTTAGTGCTAAAAACACTAGTTACCCTACTGATCCCCCAGGGGGAATGCGATTCATACCAGTAGTCTTTTGTTTTTGCATGCGCGAGAGCCTTGTGAAATTCAGAGCGGGTTAGTTGATCCATCTCAGAAAGAACGTCGGGTGCCGTCCAGTACTATCTGAGTTTAAACGTGGTCAACTAGCGGTCATTTGCTGGTCGCATCCCGTGTGGAGTTGGACCTTGTCGTGGTCTGGGGGCTCCCTCGCAAGAGGGTCTAAAGCAACTCCACCCGCTAAGTAGCAGTTCCGGTGAGAACCCCAGGGTACGGTTCTGTGAAACAGCACCACCGTGTTGTAAGTTGGGCCCATACGGTTCATACGGTGGTCCCTTAGTGTTAGGACACAACCCCCACATCTCATCTTGCGCAGTACAGATACAAAGCAAGATGACGAAAACGCGGAAAACGGAGCAAAAGAGAAAAGATGACGGAGAGTCATCTAAGAGACGAAAAGAAGACAGAGGAGTTCTGTCAAAAAAGTCTCAAAGGCAGGAAAGCCAAGACAGAGAAGGTCTGTCTAAAGATGATGCTCCACAAACAGAAGAGGTCACAAACAACACACCAGCTAATGTAGACGAAGGGTCTACTTTTGATGAAGAACATTTCAGTGTCCAAGAGTCACTCGAATACTTAACAGAATTAGAAGGCATTCTTAGTGCAGCAGACATCCATAAAAAGGTTTCTAAAAAGATTAAAGAACATTTTGTAAAAGTTCTAAATATCATCACTAAAAAGAATATGCAAATAGCTAACTTAGAAGGTCAACTCGAACAAACACAAACAATCGAGGACTATATCATAGGAGTAACAAACACAACCAAGCCCTCGTATGCTGATGTAGCTCAAAGAGGCAGGTCTCGATCAAGATCACAGAAAAGAGCACAAAATGCCGTAGAACACGTCACTATCATCTACCCAAGGGAGATATGACGTCAGACGAAAGTGCGTAATAAAGTCGTGACCAACATAGACCCGGCAAATTAAAAGTTGGGGTAAAAAGCAGTTAGACGCGTCAGAAAAGGAGGGGGTACTTAATACAAGTAGACAAAAAGAAGAACTCGATATCCTAGAGGATGCCATTAAAGAGAAACTCAAAATTGAAAGAAATAGTAGACACAAAAAGACCGAAAAAGATAAACCCCAAAATCGTGATATACAACGTAAATAAAGAACTAGATAAAGACACAGTCAAGGATAAGATCCTAACACAAAACTCCCAGATCGAAAACGCAGAAATTGAAGTACTATTTCCAATGAAGGGACGATTTGGAAACAACTGGGTAGTGTCCATAGATCCAACAAACTTTAAGATTCTTATGAAAACCAGAAAATCAATATCGAATGGACTCGTAACAACATACGGGAATTCTTACAAGTATCACAATGTACTAAGTGTTTAGGATTTAATCACTCCGCGAAACACGACACAGCCAACCCTCGATGTACCAGGTGCGGCTCAGAAGACCATCTTAAGAAAGAATGCGAGAAACAACACCCAAAATGTGTAAATTGCCACGGGACCAACAAAAAGTTTGAGACAAACTTAGACACAAAACATGATACTAGGAGTAAACAGTGCGCATGCTATTTAAAGGAAGTTCAAAGACTAAAACAGAGGATAAACTATGAATAATATTAAAATATTACAAGTAAATCTTCAGCACTCTAGGGGTGCAACAGCCTACTTAAGAGATTACATAGAATCAAATAATGAATACACAATAGCATGTATACAAGAACCTTACGTTAAAGACAATAAAGTAAGAGGATTCCCAATCAAATATAGAAAATTCTACGCCAAATCTGGCGCAAAAACAGCGATAATCATTACAGACAACCAAACTTCAGTATTGGAAATTCTAAGTACTGAAACTATAAGTGCAATAAGAATAGAAGGACAAATACCATTCATATTAATCTCAGTTTATTGTCCACCATCCCAAGGACTAGAAACACACCTGTCCATACTAGAAGACTTAATTTCTGATTACCAAAATATCCCAGTTATAATTAGTGGTGACTTCGATGCGAAGCACACAATCTGGGGCCCAAGTCAACCTGATCCCCGAGGATTACAAATATGTGAATTTCTAGCCTCTACAGACATGTGCGTTATAAATGATCCCGATAGCCCACCTACGTTCACAGGGGCCAGAGGTAACTCATGGATCGACCTCACCCTCCTAAGAAAACACGGTCAATTAAACATTATAAATTGGAAAGTGTTAGAAGAGGCCAATCTAAGTGATCATAACATAATAACCTATGAAATATCAAACACAAAATGCAACAGAAGTTCAAAAACGAAAATGAAGCTAAAACATATAGACTGGCTTAAATTCAGACTAATATTAAAAGAACAATATCAAGTCAACAGACTTGTAAGTATAAATAACATAGACGACCACATAGAGAGGACCACAAGTCTAATACATGAAACTTATGAAAGTACAAAGAAGCCCACAGTAATCCTCCCACCCCATCGCATAAGCAAACCATGGTGGACACCAGAATTAACAATATTAAGAAAAAAGGTCAGGGCCTTAAGAAGACGATACAATCGTTCCCCAGACTCAATCAGGACAGAACTCAGAAAAACTTATAAACTAGAACAAGCGAAATACAAAAGGCTTCTGTTCGAAGTCAAAAGGAAAACTTGGAACACATTCTGGGATAACCTTCAGATCTCCTCACCCTTCGGCACATATTATGACATCGCCAAAGGAAAAAGTCTAGGTCCATTACAACTAAGCGTGATTGAAAAAGCGGACGGCACGACCACAAAAACAATAGAAGACTCGATAAAGGAGATTCTAAAGTTTCACTTCCCACAAGATCCCACAGACCAAGACACAGAAGAACACAAAAGAATAAGACAAATAGCAAACAGCCCATGTCTCACAAAAAATGACAAAGATTTTACGAAAATAGAAATTCGCAAAGCAATAGAAACCACAAAGAGAGGATAGGCCCCAGGCCTAGATAAGTTAAACATAGAGTTCATAGAAGAACTAAGACTAGCCAATGAAGAAGATAACCTCACAAAACTATTTAATGCATGCCTCCACACCGGATACTTCCCGAAAACATGCAAAAATGCCGAACTAGTCCTTTTCAAGAAAGAGGGGAAAAACCCACAAAACTCTAATGCCTACAGACCAATATGCCTTCTCTCCGCATGGGGAAAGGTACTGGATAAGCTCATAACGCAGCGACTCGTCCACCACCTAGAGTCAAATCAACTCCTAAAGAACGCCCAATTTGGATTTACCAAGGGCAAGAGCACGATAAATGCATTAGAAAATCTCCAACAACAAATACAGGCAAACAAAGCCAATGGTTTCCACACATGCGTAATTGCACTCGACGTCGCTACGGCTTTTAACCGATTATGGTGGCCAGCGCTGAAAGAGACTCTATTAAAACTTCGATGTCCAAAAAATCTATTTAGGCTCATCAGTAGCTATCTACATGACAGAATCATCACATATCAAAGAGATGGAGTCAACATAAGACATGAGTACCATAAAGGGGCCCCACAGGGATCCAACATAGGCCCGACCCTATGGAACATCATCGCAAACACAGCCTTAGAAATAGACTTTGAAGACACTGCGCAGCTACAAGCATACGCGGATGACTTTATCCTGATTATAAAGGGCGGCAATAGACTCATAATTGAACGACAAGCGGCAAAAGCCCTGGAAGAAGATCTCGGCCTGGAGTGCAAAATATAAGCTAAACTTTAGCGTAGAAAAAACAAAAATGATTACCTTTCCCAAAAGGGAATAAAATAATTAACAGTCCACCCAGGATTAAATGGCAAAACCTCCCCTTAAGAAACCAAAGTACGCTAAAATATCTAGGATTCCTATTAGATAATAAAATTAACTTGGATTCCACACCTGGCGGAAATAAGGAATAAAACAAACAGATTAATAAACAATCTAAATCGGATCATTAGACAATCAAGTGGAACTTAAAAGGGCGTCTCATGAAAGATCTATACACAAGAGGAGTCGAAAGGATGATACTCTATGGGTGTCCGATTTGGATGCAAGGCACCGTCAGACAAAGACAGAAACTGCAACAAATTCAAAGGGTGGCACTTCTCAAAATAACAAAAGCGTTTAACACAACATCCACGGCTGCCCTCCAGATTTTGGCGGGGACCCTCCCCCTAGATCTTAAGGCAGAAGAAGAACGCTTAACCGGTAGGTTAAGCTTTAAAGGAGGCCTACCGCTTAACCGGTAGGTTAACCGGTAGGCCTCCTTCACTTTAGGGAGTCAGCAATTGAAAATGGACTCACTATCCTCGAAGAGTCGGCCTTAGAGCCCCACATCAGAACCACCGCTTCCCATCCGGCATCCTCAGTGGACATTAGATGGGACAAACTCCCGCCACTCAATACAGACTTAGAAATATTTACAGATGGGTCAAAAACCGACTCAAAAGACGGCGCCGCATTTGTAATTTTTCACAACGCTCAAGAGATTCACCAGGAACAATACAGATTAAGTGATCACGCAACAGTATATCAGGCGGAATCACTAGCCCTTAAGCAAGCGGCACTCTGGATTAGCAGCTCTGATTCCATTTCCCATTCAATCTACACAGATAGTATGAGTATTCTACAAGGTCTGAACAGGATAGGATCACAGCCACTACATGTCTCCTCATTAAAAGAAATCCTCTCGACCTTAGCCTATACCAAGAACATCTCCTTACACTGGGTCAGAGGGCACCAAGGTACCCAAGGTAACGAAAGAGCGGACGCCCTTGCGAAAGCCGCCACAGAACTTCAGCAAATCACAAAAGAAACCGCAGTCTCGCTCATAACAGCCAAAAATCGTATCCATGAACACTTCATGTCAATCTGGCAGACAAGATGGGAGGAAGGAGACACAGGCAGGTTCACCTTCGACATTTTTCCACAAGTAAGACTGAAGAGGTTATATTCCAGCCATCTCTCCTTACAAGCCCTAACCAACCACGGGAGATTTCCATCGTACCTAGAGAGGTTTCTGCACAAAAATGTTAAATGCCGCTGCTGCTCTTCGGCGACAACAGCAGATGTCATACCCTATCTGTCTACATGTCTGATCACCGCACACCTCAGGATACCACAGAATACAACGCTTCTCCAAGACAAAGGAAAACAAGGGTACTTCACAGACTATTATGGCCAGAAAGAAGCCAGGAGGATTCTTCAATTTCTCACTACAAATACACGGAGCGTCATCATACAGACATCCGACTAAAAACTAAGTCCGATGCTTTGTAAAAGGCAGCACGCCTTATGTAAATATTGTACAAAGTCTACTAACTCATCTTAACTAATATTCAGGATATCTTTTGTAATTTCATAATAATCATAATTGTAAGTTGGTGCAAACCAACCAAAATGTAAATATATGTTAATTTTGTAATGTAAATTTAAATAAAAGAGAGGTTGCTACGCAACGACCGGGATGATATGACTGACCTGTAGTGTCCAATGAGAGGCGAGGCAGGCTAAGGATAATTATTATTATTATTATTATTACCCTACTGATCCCCCAGGGGGAATGCGATCATTATTGTAGTCTTTTGTTTTTGACTTGCGCGAGAGCCTTGTTGAATTTTGAATTCAAAGCGAGTCAGTTTGACCCATCTCAGAAAGAACATCGGGTGCCGTCCAGAATTATCTAAGTTTAAACGTGGTCATCTGATGGTCATTTGCAATACGCATTCCCGTGTGGAAATAAGACCTTGCCGTGGTCTGGGGGCTCCCTCGAAAGAGGGTCTAACGTATTTCCACTCGCTAAGTAGCGGTCCGGTGAGAACCACAGGGTACCGGACTTGCGAAGCAGCCACTGCGTAAATCGGGTCCATTTAACGGACTCATGCAGTGGTCCCATAGTTAGGGCACATTCCCCACACTTCGTCTCACGCCCAATTACAAGCCAAGGTGAGATGGAACGAACGATGAACACGGGGCAGGAAAGTTAGATAGAAACCTCCGATGAGCAAAAGGAGGGTCTGGCGATGAACGCTCCACCAACAGATAAGGTTGACACTCAGAAAAGCACACGGCAGACCCCGGAGCATAACTCCGTGGCTGACCCAGCTGTTAATTTGCAGGAGGCACATAACTGCCTGAATGATTTAAATGGACTTTTAAACCATGAAGATATTCCTAAGAAAGTAGGAAAAGATATAAAGAAACTTTTTATGAATGTGTTAAATGTGTTAACAAAACAAAGTGTGTACATAGCAAAGTTAGAAGGTGAAGTAGAGGCTACTAAAAATATCGAGGACTATGTCCAAGGACTAATAGCAACAGAGACTCAAAGCTACGCAAGTGTAGCAAGTAGAAATAGAAATGTAAATAAAAATACAGACAGTAATATCAGAATCCGATCAAATTCAAAAAGATCGCGATCTCGAAAACGAGACGATCATGCGTTGTTAGTGTACCCAAAAGAAGACACCGAACAAACTTCAGAGGAAGTTAAAGATCAACTAACTAAGTATATCAACCCAGGGAAACTCAAGATAGGCGGTATAAAAAACGTTAAGAAGATCAGTAAAGGCGGGGTTTTAATAGAAACTAAGAAAGAAAGAAGACCTCGAAATAATAGAAGAGGCAATAAAAGAAAATAGGAAATTAAAAGATATAGTGGACACTAGAAAACCGCAAAAACTTAATCCCCGACTAATAATTTATAATGTCAAAGAAGACATAACCAAGGAAAAACTTAAGAGACTTATAAAATCTCAAAACACAGGGTTCGAAGATAGTCACATCGAAGTCCTTTACCCCATGAAGGCAAGATTTGGAAACCACTGGGTAATAACCACAGACCCGGAAACATATCAACGCATGATGCGACACAAGAAAATTAACTTACAATGGACTAGGAACAATGTGCGCGAATACATTAAAGTTACGCAATGTACAAAGTGCCTAGGCTTTAATCATAATGCGAAAAACTGCCAAAAAGAGAAGATCTGTGCCGGATGTGGATCAGCAAAACACGAGGCTAAGGATTGTCCCAAAAAAGAGAAAACATGTTTAAATTGCACGAAAGCCAATGACCGATATCACACGGGTCACAATACCAAACACGATACAAGAAGTAAAGACTGCCCATGCTATAACAGAGAACTAAGATTATTAACCCAAAGAATAAATTATGGATAGAACTCGGATACTCCAAATAAACGTTAAGCACTCAAGGAGTGCAACAGAGGAGTTAAAAGCAAAACTCGATAATAAAGATAACAAAATAAGCATGGCTTGCATACAAGAGCCGTACGTGGTGCACAACAAAATGTACGGAATACCACCACGTTACAGGAAAATTCTATTCAAAAATAGATGCAAAAACAGCAGTCATCATAATTAGTGGACCCCAATTTAGCAGCAATAGAAATAAAGAGCACACCATTCGTAGTCGCGCTACGAACAGAGCAACAACACAAATAATTTAATTCTAGTTCTCGGTCTACTGTCCCCCATCTCTGGACATAGAACCAATTCTGTTGGACTTAGAAAATCTATCTAAAGATTATAAAGATGAAAACATCATAATTTGTGGAGATTTTAATGCGAAAAGCCCACTATGGGGGCCCCAACACACAGATCCAAGAGGGATTAAAGTAAATGAACTAATAGCAACAACAGGGCTAACAGTCATTAATGACAACTTCGAAGTTCCAACCTTCGCAGGCCCAAGAGGGAACTCATGGGTTGACATAACCCTAGCAAAAACTTACAGTCCACTAAGGATTGACAACTGGACAATAGATGATGACATAAACCTCAGTGATCACAATAATATCACGTTCGAAATAGTACATCATAAAATTACTACAGAACGTAAACATAAATTGAGCATGACAAAGGTGGACTGGCTATTGTTTCGCCAAAATCTATACCAAAAATACAAAGATATTAATGATCCCATCACAGAAAGTGACATA